TAACTAAGTACACAAAACTAAGCATTCAATTAAGTAATACATTCAATTAATATTTGACTGTCTACAATGCACTTTACCTAAAATACCATGATAAACAAAACAGATGCAGTCCCAGCCCTCACAGAGCTAAAATATTATCTGATTGTTAAAACATTACGAGTAAGAAAAGATGCTCAACATCAATAATCACTAGGAAACTGCAAATCAAAACCATGAAACTATTTCACACATAGTAGGATGGCTATCAAAAAAACAGAAAATATGTGTTGGGAAGGATGTGGAGAAACTGGAAGCCTTGCAAATTGTCAGTAGGAACGTGATAAAATGGTGCAGCTGCTATAGAAAACAGTATGGTGGTTGCTCAAAAAATTAAAAATAGAATTACCATATGATCAGCAATTCCACTTTTAGGTCCAAAAAACTGAAGGTTGAGTCCCAAAGAGGTATTTGCACACACATGTTCATTGCAACATCACTCACAATAGTTAAAAGGTGGAAGCAACTCATGTCCATCCACAGATGAATAAATAAGCAAAATGTAGTATATACAGACTATACCTTAAAAAGGAATTAAATGCTGATACCTGCTACAACATGATGAACCCTGAGGACATTATGCTCTGGTATCTAAAGGAGTCAAATTCATAGAGACAGAAAATAGAATGGTGGTTATCAGGCGCTGAGGGTTAGGGGAATGGGAAGTTATTGTTTTACCTATAGAGTTTCAGTTTTGCAAGATGAAGAGTTCCAGAGATGGATATGGTGGTGGTTGCACAACAATATGTACTTAAACCATTAACCTGTGTACTTAAAAATGATTAAGATGGTAGATTTTATGTTGTATGGATTGACCATAATTTAAAAAATATTGAAAAGGGGAGTGAAATGTCATGAGCAAATTAACATGCAAATTTTTACACATTTTCAATTAAAGGGTGAAAAAATGTTAAGTTACCTGTTCCTTAGTTACTAAAATTCCCAATAGAAAGTGGTATATAAAACATATTAAGCTTAAAAACATATAGTTTTCTTTCAACAGAAGGTTATATAAAGTATCTTTAGAACATGGCACAAGATTTGAAAAATGTTCCTGAGACACAATGTACAGTACAGCTCAAAGTTCATTACATTTGACATGCTAAATGTTGGGCCAAATTTTCTTTGAACATTGAACATTACTTTGAGAAAGAGTTGGAAAGCTATTATTAATATACTCAAGCTGAAGGCTTTATATTTATAGATATAGCTAAACTGATAACTCCAAAGCATCACAGAATTCCAAGGTTGTTATTTCAGCAAACCTGCATGAGTTTTCAAGATGCAGTTTTGAAGATATATCAAGGTCTAAAATGCTATCAATTATGGGACAGCAGAGCAGTAACAGAGAACTAGTCTCATATAGCAAACCCATGTTCTATTTTGGAGAACTTATTCCTAAGAACCAGAAGCCAAGAGCAAGTATCATAAGGAGAGAGAGAGGAGGGGAAGAGGGTAGGAGAAAGAATAGATAAGGAGCTGAATAGATTGAAAACTTTTAAGTAAGAGGTAGATTTGGATTTTTCTTTTTTTAATCACAACTTGGTAATGATGTATGACCACTTTAGAAAAGTAGTAAAAATGAATTGGGCATATCAACGTTTATACAAATTTGTTTTGCTAATTCATCAATTCACAAATTGGTTCAAATTTTATATAAGAATCTAGTAGACTCCTCCCAGACAATGCTGGGGGAACTGACAAATGAAAAGTACAGATATCAATAAAATTAAACTATAAACTCAATGAAGACAATCCCTGTTTTATTCTCTGCTGTTATCTCTAGCGGGCAACACAGAACCTCACATATGACAGACAAAAGTTAAGGGTTAGGAGTTAAAGGGGTTTACTATATTAAATCATTAAGAGAGCATCAAAAAAACCATAGCTATTTTCAATATTAAATACCAGGCAAATGTGTATCCCATATGATCTAAACATGGCTGTCAAAATTGTATTTCTTATAAAAAACAACCAAAGCCTAATGCTACTTTCCATCATCACTATACAACTGATCCTGAAATAATTAGCTTTGCTAACAATTAACGGGGGTGGGGGGCAGGGCGCGCATACAATTTCAGTAAAAGGTGGAAAAAGATATAAGCAGGGTTCCATGCAGACCAGGCTTTAAGGGAGTAGAGCTGGCGAGCTCTGTGGCTTTTGTCCTCCAAGCCAATTTTAAAAGGGGGGTGGGGGGGGCAGGGGCGGGCATTGGAAAAGAAAACATTGGCAATAACGCCATGGCATTTAGTTACTATGAAGCCAAAAGTCAGTCTTTCTTTTTTGCAAACCTAATATATACACAGATACATATGGCACATGAATCTAATATACATTATGTACGAATATTTTTGGAGGTACTACATTATTTCTTAACAACCCTTAATATGACAAGCAGGAAAATTCCCAAGTAATGAAAGACAATTTCCCCAACATCTGTACCTAATCTCCCCTATTCAGCCTCTTGAAACGACACATGCCAGTACAGCTAACATTTAAAAATATTTTTCATTGTTCCTATCACAATCTACTCCCTCAGATTTTAAAATAACGTATCTATTACAATTTCTAAAGTCTCTTCTCATATGCTTATAACTTAATCCCATTTGCAGAGAATACTTTTTAAACTAACCTGCCATAAATTCTCTCTACAAATCCATATCACTAAAGTACCCCCCAAAACAGTTGTCAGCAAGCAACATACAATAAAAACTCACCCTCCTTACTTTATGTTTGGTTTTCTCTCACTCTTCACATGTTGTTCGTGGGTATAGAAGTTCTTCCTCCACCCATTTTCTCTCAGTTTAGGTCTCTATGCCTGCTCCCCAAGGGAAGATGATAAAGGCTACTTCCCAAAGTGTGGGACAACTGGTTCTGCTCTGTCCCCTTCCCCCAACCCCTTCCAGGGTTCATGTTGTTCAGTCTTTCAGCTCAAAGGGTGGGGAGAAGTTTTGAGAAATCAGTCCAGTGACTTACCCCAGTAGCAAATCCCAGGTGGATACAAATTGGGCAAAGGAAGAATTGGGAGATATTTTAAAGGACTTGGTTCATCCTGTGCCCCAACAAACTAATGCCTGAAGCTTGGTTGGTGTTCATTGATCATAGGAAAAAAGAATATTCACTTTAGTGTGTTTCTTCACAATATAGCTGAGAAGGGGTAGAGTTTTTAAAAGATGTTGCTGGCAATTTCCCTCTGGAGAGGAAAAGGGAACTAAATGAGAAGGAAAAATAAAAAGGATAGTTTCTTCATGTCACTCTTCCCACCACCCCCAGATGCTATCAATAGGGACTCTAAGGAAACATGAGAAAAAATCTTAAAAGCTATCCCCACAGAAACTAAGATAAGTGGAATTTTAGCTGGTAGCCAAAAGTCTAAAGGTTAGATATGCAGCTCCTTGCCCCCTGCAGGGGAAAAGGCGGGAAAAAAAAAAAGTGGCTCTTGACTGAGTGGAGAATTGTAAGTGACTGAATTTGCTGTTCCCCTTCTTGGCTCTTTTTTCAGAATCACAGACTGCCCCCCTCCCTGAAAAGCAGACTCCAGCACCTGGTGGGGGTAAGAGAAGACAAGAGAGAAAAAAAGGGAGACAGAAAAAGATAAAAACATCAACAGCCATGTTGCCAAACTAACAACTAAATCTATGACATGAAAGAAGGAAATTAATAGCACTAACCAAGATAGAAAGGAACAAGATTACCTCAAAACAAAATAGGTCTCCTCCCCTTTGACACACTAACCAAATAACGCACAGTAACCATTAGAAAAAAAAATTTTCTATGACTGTTAATATTTTAAATTAGTTTTTTGTTCTACAATATAAACGTTAAATCTCCATAACTGGAATTTCAGAGAGTGTTTTATTCCAAATGAATATCTTAAAGTATATTGACAACGAATTGTTTTAAAAAAAATTACGTTTAAACTACCTAATGTTGTGAAAGAATTAAAATGAGATTTAAACATGTAAATTTTAATTAGTTATTAAAATGTCCATAAATATAACATGACGAGCCTACAAAAAAGGAATATCTTCCATACTAAGCTTCCCATGTACTTTCCATACAGATTTAGAATTTAATCCAACTCAGCAAAGATGTGGGAACAATTTCATAATTAATGGGAAAATAATAGCACACAAAGAATTTACATCGAAAATATATTCACCACGGTTAGTGTAACTTCACTCATAGAACAGAATTAAAGACCCATCTCTATTCATAAACACAAATGGGATAAAATACTGGGATTACAAATCTGATATCAAACATAAGGATAAATCAGTAAATCTGAAATTACCCCCTTTTTGGCTTTTTTAAAGGGGAGCAGGGGGAAGTAAGAGTTGCAACAGGGTCAAATGCTTTAAAAAAAAAAAAGTCAACCAAAATAGGCAATGATATTGTCACCCTATTCTTATTCAAAGGATGTCAAAGGAAAGAGGAATGACTGTCACACTCTCTAAAATTTACACGTAAGGGGGAAAACATGGAATTAAAAACATCACGACTGCAGAAGGAACACCACATCCTCCTCCCTCGGTCACACCACAGGAATTTGTCTAATGGAAACAGGGGCAGCAGAGATTACCACACTCTTGGGGACAGGTTAGCACAGCGCATTCCCAGGGCTACCACACCCCCTCACAACAGGAAAACCGTACTTCACGCCCGAGGTCGCTGACTCTCCAACACAGTCCTCCCAGCCACAGGCACACGGCATCGTCGACCCCTCCCAGCATACCCGAGTCTAGGTTCTGCCTCGCTCCCCACCGTCACAGCTCTGAAACGACCCCCGGCCTTTCCGGGCCCGGGGCAGGAGAGCGCCCAGCCGGGCCCCCACCCCGGCCGAGCCCCCCGCTCGGCGCCGAGTCCATTCGGCCGAACCCGCCCGCTGCGGGGAGCCGGGCGCGGGGTCGGCACGTCCCTGCCTCACCCCCGACCCTGGGCGAGGGAAGAGAGCGGACGCTCACCTGGCTCGGGTGGCTGCTCCCTAGCTCTCGGCCAGCGGAGCCCAGCTGGGGCCTCCGGGGGAAGCGCGGGCTGCGGGGCGGGCTGTCGGTCCGCGGAGAAGGGGGAGGGGGTCGGGATGCCGGGAGCCGCCTCCTTCCTCCTCCGCCACCGCGGCTCCTACAGCCAGGCCGGGCGCCCTCGCACACTCGCCCACTTTCTCACAGCCTCGCGGTCGCTCTGGCTCGCCCTCACCCCCACT